TCACAGAAACATATAGCACGTCTTTATAGAGAAAGATATCGAGATCCTCCATCAGCGGCATCCATTTAGTCACTCTTCAACAACTATCCTGACTTCCCAACTGGACATAGCGACGATCGACTGCGAGGGATTTTACACTACGCAAGGGATGAGTGTAGCCCGGGTATCCGTGTGCGATGGAGATGGAAAAGTTGTATTCGATGAACTGGTGCGGCCTGATGAAGGGGTGTCTATCATGTGGGTTCTATCCGAGTTAATATATCAACCCACTAATTCTGAGACCTTCAGTGATCTTAACACGAGGTTCATGATTAAAACTGTCCACAGACTCGTTTGATTGACACAGTATATGCAGATTTTCAGGAGTAACATCCATGGAAGGCGCTACCTTCGATTTAAAGGGAATTCGGCAAGCACTTGATGCGTTAATAGGCCCTGAAACGATCATAATAGGGCATGCCGTCGAAAATGATCTTATGATGCTACGAATGCTCCACCCTCGTATCGTAGACACGATTGTGCTTTACCCCAGCCCGATGGGACTGCCATATAAGAGATCTTTACGCGTCCTGTATGTGCGCCCATCATCGTTCTCAATAAATCTATACTGATGTACGATCTCCATAGGGCTCAAGAGTTCCTGGGACGTTCCATCCAAACCGGTGGAGAAATAGCTGGCCATTCATCTGCGGAGGATGCTTTAGCTACTCTAGATCTCGTTAAGTATTACGTCCAGAATAGAAAAGGGAAAGAACAGCAGAAATTGAAGTGAATATAGCTCATGGCCGTCAAGAGTAGTAGGGTCGTGATGGTAGTAGCATAGGTAATACATTCACGGCGTAGTGGCTTCTGTGACGTCCCTTCCTTGAATCCCGCCACAATGCAGTTTGTAAAAAATCGTCAGTCCTAACAGCTCCTCTCACTATCTATATGTGAAGGAGTATTCTTAATAATGTATTTATCAGTCTCGTCTGCATTTGCCGGCTGGAACGCGCCAACTTCTACCACAACCGCCGAGCTTGCCCAGTTGAATGAAGGATCGCTATATATTCTCCGGGCCAATTCTGCCAAGGGAGACCGAGAATGCATGTCCGTGAACCATTCCAAATCAACGTAGGCTCGACTCACCACTAAAATGATGTCTAGTTTCAATACAGCTATCGCATCCATTCGGAAGACGGACCTGCCTTTCCATTATCAGTTGGTAATCACGAGAGCGTATCAGGAAGGAGAGATAGAGTTGATGGATGAGGACGAGCTTGATGAGAATGATGGTACGTGTTTCGGGTCGATACTACTCGAGTGTGGCGTAGAGTGTTGATCCATTCCTTTGTCTGGTAGCCGAAGAGCGTACATTTCTCTTAGACGAGGTGTTGAAACCTAGAAACGGGTCTTTCGAGGGAAATAATACTATTGAATGGCGAGATCTAGAAGAAGACGACACAACTGGGGGCTCATCCGAGGAGGTTCTCTTTCAATTCGTGGTTGAAGGAACAAAGACAGATACAGCAGCATGTCAAAAGTTTTATCTAGCAATTCTCCGTAGTGT